ATTGATGGTACTATTAATATGTGCCTATTTATGTAATTATGTGGCAATTTTAGATGACTCTATGTGACAATTACTCTTGTTGATAGGAGAGGAGCTTGTAATAGTGCCATGAGAGGAGGAGTTGATTTTCATGGTACTATTAATGTTCCTATATAAATATGATAATAATAATAATTATAGATGATTCTAATGATATGAGAGGAGGAGGAACTAGTGTTAGTGTTAGAGGAAGAGGAGCTAAGAGAGGAGGAGTCAGTGTCACTACGAGAAAATGTGAAAGTTATGATATTAAAGCTGCTATTGTTGCAACTTTATTTATTGTAGATGATTCTACTAGTATTAACACTAGTACAAGAGGACATGGAGCTACAAGAAGAGGAGCTAGTGGTCCCACTAGAATTCTAAGAGGAGGAAATGATATTAATGGTATTATTAACACCCATTTACATAATTATGTAGTAACTTTAGATGATTCTAATATTGAGAGTGGAGGAGGAGCTAGTGTTCCTGTTAGAGGAGGAAGAACTGATGGTATTATCAATACTACTGAAGAGAGGGAAAGTTGTTCATTGTACTATTAATACACTTTTGTTTATGACGACATTTTATTTTAGATTATGTGGAAGGGAGTTGTCAAAATAAATGTTGTTTTCATCCTTTCGCAAGAAATTTTGTGATGTGCTCTGAATGCAACGATTGGGTACACAGTATTTGTGCTGGTATACCTTACAGTAAAGCTCAAGCAGAAGATTTTATTTATGTATGCCCTCCTTGTAAAATTTGAACAATTTTTTTCCTTTACTATTTCACAATAAAAAAATAATTAACATCATTGATGACATCATGCAAAATTATTACTGATTAATTATTTGATCTACCAATAAAGTAGAAACTGTATGGATAAAGCAAACTCTTTCTGCAACTTCCCCAGCAGATTTTAGTGTTAAATTAGCTGATATGAATAGTCTACACTATACTTTTCACTAGGCATCTGAATAATGTGTCCAAACATTGCCCTTTACACCATGAACAGAAGTGATGATATTTTAAAGAGAAGAGATAGAGCTCTGAAATTTGCTGCTATAATAGTAAAGTAATGGGTGCATCTGATGATACAATGAGAATGGAAAATGTCCCAGTGTCATCGGAAATGGCAACCAAGGTCTGTGGAAAGGAATTTTTGTCCAAAAATATGTGACCATAATTGACAAAAGGGCCCTTATGGCGGATTTTAAAATTGATCGTTATAATGGAAAATATCAACCTGTGAGTGCTTTGTTAGACAATCATTGTTTCTAAAAGTTTCATGGTAACTTTTTGCATCCTGTGGAGTAATTTTATGATAAATGGGGCTCAGGAAAATGGATTTCTTAGGCTAGAAAGACAAATTTCACTACCCGCCATAAGGTACCTTTTGTCAATTATGGTCACATATGGCTGTCCAAAATCTGACTTTGAGAGCGCCTGTTGTTAGCATACAGAGTCGATCTGTTTTGATAATGATATGTGCAAACAGTTATCATAGATCTATCAGATGATAGTAAGAGAAAACAGCAAAGCTCTGTCAAAGCTGAGAAAGAGCGTCTGAAAATCGGGCGTGTCTGAACATGGGCTGTTTACTCTACATGCAGACTTTGTTCAATAAGTAACTGTAAGGCATCATTGCCTATGCAAAGCATTAATCTGCATGCCTATGTAGGCAATACAAGTATTTGCTAAGTAATGTAGTCTTTCTGAGACTTTTGAACTATGTATGGGTAGTACATTTCAGCTAAGTGTTATGTTATGGCTGTTTCTGCTAACAATAAGTTATAGGGTGGAAGGAGTGGTTACTATATAGTTGGATAGATACATGTGATTTTGAAATGCATTAATCTCAAAATCACAATAATGTGTTGTTCAATAATGAATACCGAACAGTGGGAAATTTTGGAGGGCATTAAATTTGGTAAATTTGGCATTTTGATAGTCATTTGCCAAAATAAAAATCAGCCATTTTGAGTCATTATACGCATACTCAATGGCACGTGGCCACAAATTTGCCAAATTAAAAATCCAAAGTTCAGCAATTCGCCAAATTGTAGCCCCTCCAAAATTTCCCACTATATGGTATTCAACACTACATATAATTTTAGGAATACTAGCTGGTATATGGCCAGGTGGTAAAATAGTATTTTTAAATGAGATTTGTCGATCAGAGAGTAAGACATAAGTGAATGGGCACTTGCATTCTTTCTTGTACAACAATGAGACAAGGACTTCTAAATTAATTATGAGAATACTACGAAGTACAAACATGCATTTAGTTATCACATTTTAAGGAATTATGTTACGACGATGCATGCCATTCAAGAAGGTGCTCCTGTAATGCTGTAAGGTCTTCCCTCACACCAACGGCTAAGAAAATATCAGATATGACGATTGTTATAGATAGAATGCACATTAAAGGCACGTTGATTTATGGTGTAAAAAAAACTGATCCAGACAAAGTACCAGAAATGGAAAAGGTAGCTATAAACTACATGTGTCTATGCATATAAACTGTCATACAGGTCAACAGCGAAATTTGTGAGCAAACTTTCTCATGGCTATCAAAATATGCAAGGATTACTCACCACATGAATAGAGAAGCATTTCATTTTCATATAATATACTTCTGTGACTTACATAATAGAAAGCCAAACTAATGTAAAATTAGAATGCATTTGTGACATAATAATGAATAAATGACAATATATAAACTTTCTATATCAACTTTCTATGACTGTTATGTTTAACTTCATAGCACATTCACGGGGGTACGCCTGTCCTAGGACATACATAGTAACATAGTCCTCTTAGGATACATTGACAAGAGGGTATGGGTACCCCTGTCCTGGGACAATCCTAGGACATACATAGTAACATAATCCTCTTAGGATACATTGACAAGAGGATATGGGTACCCCTGTCCTGGGACAATCCTAGGACATACTGTACATTGAGTCATTAGGTAAGGGGTAGGATTTGTATGTACAAAGGGGAGATGTACAAATGATGTCTACAATCCAATTATATCCTTCGGATAATAGTGTACTTGGGACAATTATTTACATATTAGGAAAGTCCCTTGCATCACTGGACAGCACTTTGCTTTATTATCATAATTATTACAAGTCAGTAGATATTCCCAATATTTAGATATACATTCATGGTATATCCTATTGCAAAAAAGCATACTCATTATGCCAGGTTGCAATGTACAGTACTGTACATACGAAGTACATGTACATAGACATACATACAGTACAACACATACATGTACATAGATACACATACAATATATACATAATGTGTGCATACAATGTACATGCATGCATATACACAATGTACATCAAGTACATACATATGTATACATGTACATCTGTACATGAAAACTACAGTAGACACATATACCTTTACGAGTACTATGTCAGTTAAATAATCACAAAAAGGAATTGTGTCCATGTCACATCACATGATATACCATGGTATGGATTCTTGTAATAATGAGAGCACTAAAATGTGTACCCTCGCCACAATTTGAATGGAGAGAAGAGAAGCTTTAGCATGCTTGCTGCACTGCTGCAGCAATGCAGTTAAAGGTGTGGCTAAATTAAGCTATGCTCTGTCCTCACACACATTACACTATACTATTCATGCTTGTACATTATACTTAATTTACATATAAAAATATATCATTAAAATATCTCATGATATTACATCAAAATAAGTCTATTTTAAAAAATACCACACAATTGGTGTTCAAGCTATAAGTCTTGCCTCTTAATCCTGCTATCATCGCTATAGCATGTGAGAACTTCTAGCTTTCGTAGGTACTCTTCTTATATAGTATACCTTAACAGATAGAAATGAAAGGATGCTACAACACTAGTGATTCAACCCCATAATAAAAATAATAGTATTATGATAATTATTTTGATATTTCAATTATTTTTATATGTATTTGTATTTAAATTTGTCATCTTTCCTTTCACTCTAATTCTATTTCTCTAGGCACTAGCCACTCTCTCTGTTCCTCCCGTCTTACCCTGGTTGGTTCTTGAAGTAGTTTCCTCTTCCTGTCAAACACTTGTCTAACTCTTTCATCTTCCTGTGTGATAACAAGACAATGACTATTGATCCTAATATTATCAAAAATTTACTAATTTTAAAACTCTCATAACTAAAAAAATTTTATTTGATAAAGCTCAAACTTCAATGTTCACACAGCATAAGTACATGTATCAGAAACTTAATAAAAATTGCTGGTAATTTTGGTGCAATAAAGCAAATAAATTAAAAAATACATGTACTACCATGTACAATTGTACATGTGCATGTATGTCAGAATTGTCTAATTACTCAAATAATTTGGCTAATAATTTTAACATGTTGAAAAGTTCAGAGAAAAGTTAGAGTACAGGGATTTTGACAATTTTTTGAGCAACTTGAGAATTTTGTAAAAAATCCGAACTTGACCAGAATCAGTTCAAACTTTCTACACAACATAAGTATATGTATACGCATCAGATAAAATTAAAAAATATAGAATTTTCACCTTTTCATTTTTGGCAAAATTTCGCTGAAATCCCTGTACTATAGTACAGGGACTTTGAGCCAATTTTTGAGCAAATTTAAAAATTCCTAAAAAATCTTAACTTTATCAAAATCTGTTCAAACTTTCTACAAAACATAACCACAAGTAATGCATATCCTACCATTGGTTCTTTTCATCATTCCATTGTCTGCCAACATCAAAAGTAATAAAGCTTCTCATATCAATATTAGCAACCATCCTTATCATGGTCTGTGAGAAACAAGAGAAAATTCTTAATATTAATATCAATAATAATAATAAAATACTGTATTGTACCTTATAAGGGTTGACAGGGTTGATGATGGTATAGTCAGGAATTGATAGGAATGGCATGATTCCCAGACACTTTCCACTGCCATGACCATCAACTATCACCTCTATAAACATTGAATAAAAATATAAAATAAGTAGCTGCATAATTGTACAAGTAGATTTCTTGCAAATATTTCATAATAATAATATCATTACTTTATTAATTACTTCGATCTTGAGGTCGTAGTAGTCATCAACTGCTGGTTAAAATCCTACAGGATAAAATTAATACCCTACAATAAGTAAATAAATGGATGAATAGATAAAATACATTGTGTCTTACTATTTTATAATAATAAGAAAATAATTATAATGAAAACAACAATTCAAATAATAATATATTAATAATAATAATTACATCTTCTAGATATTATGCAATATCAATATTTATCAATGCTAAAGAAAATCAATGGAAATTACGAACAAAATATCAAAAATATAACTATGCCACTATAGTTGTTACATTATCTTAATATCTCTAAAATGACTAAGCTCTTCTTTTTTGGAAACCAGATGAAGTAATTGAAGCATATAAAGCCTAAGAAGGTTTATATAATACTTTTTATTACTAATTTACTTACAAATAGCCAAATATAGCCGTTTCAGTAATATTGAAGTTAATGGGCATGGCTTAATAAATTTTCAATAATGGATATCAATATATTAATTTTAGGCTATAATTATCAATATTGTAGTGTTCAAAATTTTCAATATTACCAAGAGTGGATAAGGAGGATGGGAGATTGTCTAATTGCCTTATACTGCTAGTGATATTTGTGCGTAGAAGTCTTTCACAGTTTGTTCAGCACCTTATTTGACCTGTTTAAACATCAGCAGCCATGACAGTAAATGGGTGTGTTTTTAATAACCTATTTGGTGCACTCACCCACACATGTAGTCATGATGTTTGAAGAACAAGAGTCAGAACTATTGGACAATCCAGATGATCACGACTGTTATAGCAGATTGAGAGCATCTAATATTGATGAGCGCCATGCCATCACACCTGAGTGCCCTAAAGCATAAAAAAGAGGACATGGAGTCAAGAGTCAGAAGCCTCTGCTGCAGTGAACTCATGCAGATCTGTAATACTTTGTTTTTAAGATTAACAGCAGTTCACAACCCTGTCTCAAAAGTATATGTACCACATATTCTTTCACTTCTATTACTATCCTTACTCTTGGTGTTGCGGGTCCTAAAGGACCAGACTAAAGGAGGGCGATCAAGAGCTTTTGATGTATCAATAACAAACATGGTTTGTGGGCTTCGAAACTACAAATCTCTTCAAAATTGTACATAGTGACTGGTACAACAAGGTGAGGTCAAATTCTGCTTCCAAGGTCTGCTGCTCAGTTCACATCCATTTTTATATTACAGTTAACTTAAGTACACACCCAACTATGGCTTCAGTGCAGTTATCACTTATTGTGCTAAATAAGGTATGCGGGATTGTACAAATAATAACCATAAAACTTCTACGCGCACATATCACTAGCAGCATGGGGCAGTTAGACACACTCCCCTCCTCCTTATCCACTTTTGATTCCTCATCCCCTCTTGATATCACCGAGCACTACAATATTGGGCTCATTATTGGGCTGATATCAATCAATTTATACGTATCCGTTTTAAGCACAAGAAACTGCAAATGTCTCATGTAAAAACGGGACAATTGTCCCTCCAAAAATTACATTTGTATTGTGCAACCTTCGAACTGATCAAGTCAGCCTAAGATAGCTTATAAAATAGGTAAACATTATCATATCATCGTGGGGCATACCATACTAAATATTCAAAATCAATTATGGTTCTAAAATTAGATGTTTTTGAGGTTTTCTTTGCACTCAAATGCTTCAATCTACTATAGTCTTACTTTAAAAAACTTACCGTTTACAAATCTATTGTAAGGGCAAAAACATAAGCATTAACCACCCACACTTCCTTTATTATGTAAATGTGGTCAAAAATTGTAACCTCTAATATCTATGGTGCGTTGTACTTATACAAAATACTATCAAATTTAGCTAAACAAATGGATAATGAAAAGTGGTTCCACAACACTTTAGCTAGAAGGTATTAATTGCACTGCATTGTAGTAAGAAGGTAGCACATATATAGAAGGTAGCATATAAGGTAGCATACAGATTTATGCTTACTGAAATCTCACAGCATATATCTACACCAGGTCAGGCTCAGTTCATTCCCCTTATGTGTTTGTGCCTAATATAAAAGAACAGAGAGAGAGTGATAAATAATCAAAGTTAAAAAACTATAAGTGAATTAATTTATGGGCTGTTTAAAGTGCAAGTGCAGTGATTTTTTAGGGTATTTATTTTATGGTCTTAATATGATTGCCTGACCATAATAATGATGTGTTCCAACTCCCATTGTCTGCTGAATGATTTCACTGAGATATGAGCCTTCAAAGATGCACTTTTTGCTTCTTGCCAATTTACTTCCTGTCAATGGGTGTGGCTAAACGTGACATCATAAGAGACATTGATGCAAATAACTCCATTCCTTTATAGGGGGAATAATCCTTTATTCTCATG